CTCAGTCACTGGCTTTTTAAACAGGAGAACTGCCAATTCCTGAATAACTGCAGTACTTTTACTGAATTCCATTAACATCCCTCTCCTTTACCACCAGGATTTGAAATGGGATGACTGAGAATTTCTCTTCCATAGACGAAGGGACAGAAGAAATGCCACACCAGACAACAGAGCCAATGGTAACAATAGCACATACTGCAAAATCTATAACCAGAACCATCAGGCTCTACAGTATGCCTAATAGGAAGAATAGCAATTTATTCCATTAAAGCAAAGCTAGAACTGCTGACTGACTCCAGATCCCTGTTAAAAAGAAAATTTAGAGCTAGGAGTGAATACTTTTTTATTCACTCCTACATTTTTATTCACTCCTAGCTCACATTTAATAAAAATGTATTCACTCCTCGCTCTAACTTCCCTAGCAAATCTAACTCAAAACAAATAAATGTGTATTTGACCTTTAGCCACAGCAAACATTAATCTAAGACTGTAGCTGTGTTCAGAGATGGAATGTTTATAAAAGCCCTTAGCGTTGTACCTAGCACTGTACCTAATAGTAAGTGCTTAATAAATGGCATCTTCTGTCATGATTCAGAGCTATACTTCAGCATAGAACAGAGTATGCAGACTTTCGCTTGGTGATCCCCTCTGGCTAAAATAACTTAATGCTTTAAAAATTTCTGTATACAGAATATTTTTATATATTGCTCATTACATAAAATGTGAAGAATATGACTCGGAATCCACAGAGGCTGAGAGAGAGCTACCACAAAAAGAGCCTTTCAGGACAAGTCTGGTCTGAAATGGGCACATGGGTCCCTGATGCATTCCAGAAGACCCTGGAATTACTGTGGATATGGGCCTTGGGCTCACAGTGAGGACAGGGAGGGCTGGGGAGAGTCACCCAAGGGCTCTGTTATTTTCCTCGTTTGTAAATGAAAGGGCTGAAGTCTGTGATTCATTTCTGGTTTTTTGCTGTAGGGTTATCCTGTGCCTCGTCACAGGATAGAAATAAGTTCTGTAGAATTTTAAAAAACTGCTGTGGGTGGGTCCCTTCTGCTTTTACTCAGAGTTATAACAGTAAGAGAAAGAAATAATAGAACAGTATTTTTCATCTGTAGGTTGATCTTTATTTTTTACTAAAATAACCAATTCATTATTATTTTCTCTGTTAGCAAATTCAGTCATTTTTTTTCTTCTATTTTTACTTTCAACTTGGTACCCTTAGAAATAGAACAAAGGCAAGTAGAATAGAGTGATATATTATAAATAAGTAAAGGACAAGAACTAAAATTATTTTTTAAATGAAACTAGTTTTCTGTCATTTTATTGATTTGAATTCTTAAGTCTTATTTTTAAAGATGGCTGTGAGAGGATGTACATCTTTAACTGTGTTTATTTAATAATTGACTTTGAAACTTTTAAGTGGAAAAGTGGGAGACATGGCTAAACAGAAAAATCAGTTGACATTTACATATATAAATTTATTTAGAAATTCTCAATTCAGTGGATTCAAGAACTTGTATTTCCCTATGAGTAGCGTGAGGTTTTAGAGCTGTTAGCTCTCACTAAAGTTCAGTATTTAAGGATCACCTAAATTAGCACTGTTTAATTGCAAGAGTATTTTTATTAAATCTTAAAATCATGTTTAAATCTACATACACAAATGGAAACATTTTCATATCAGATACTTTTCCCATAGCAGCAATATGCCTGCTCTATCTGAATAATACACTTTGGAAATTATTTCAATACATTCTCAAGTTTTACTCCACTTTTAGTTTCATTACTATTTAATATAATCATTTATATTCTAAACTAATAAAATGAATCATATGAAATATAAATGGTATAAACCTATATGCAAGCTGATCCTATTAAAAGCTTAATGTGCTAAGTGTCCAGTCAATTGGTTGTCCATTCAACCAATCAAAGCATAATATGCTAATGATATGCTAAGGCAGCCCAACCACTTGCTATGACATGCACTGACCGACCACCAGAGGGCAAACGTGCCAACTTGTAGCTTAGCTTGCTGCTGGGGTTTGGCTAATCGGGACTGAGTGATATGGGCAGGACACATCCTGGAGCCCTCCTGCAGTCCCTCTCGGGCTGGCCAACCTCCCACGTCCCTCCCCGGCCCCAACTGTGCACTGGTAGGGTCCTTCAGCCTGGCCTGCACTCTCTCTCGCAATCCAGGACCCCTCAGGGGATGTCTGAGAGCTGGTTTTGGCCCAATCCCGTGGGCCAGGCCAAGGAACCCCACTGGTACACAAATTCTTGCACCAGGCCTCAATTTATATATGAAATATTTATTAAACGTTTAAGAAGTGCCCATGATCAGGAAGCTCGGTTGGTTAGTGTGTCATCCCAATGCACCAAAGTTGCAGGTCAGATCCCCAGTCAGGGCACATACAAGAATCAACCAATGGCCGAAACCAGTTTGGCTCAGTGGTAGAGCGTCGGCCTGTGGACTGAAAGGTCCCAGGTTCGATTCCAGTCAAGGACATATACATTGGTTGTGGGCACATCCCCTGTAGGGGTTGTGCAAGAGGCAGCTGGTTGATGTTTCTTTCTCATCAACGTTTCTAACTCTCTATCTCTCTCCTTTCTTCTCTGTAAAAAAATCAATAAAATATATTTTTTAAAAATCAACCAATGAATGCATAAACAAGTAGAGTAATAATCAATGTTTCTTTCTATTTCTCTCAAATCAATTTAAAAAGGTTTTTAAACTTAAGTAGTGCTAAAGTCCTACCTGGTTTGACTTAGTGGATAGAGTGTCAGCCTACAGACTAAAGGGTCCCTAGTTAGATTCCGATCAAGGGCACATGCCAGGTTGCAGGCTTGATTCCCAGTAGGGGGAGTGTAGAAGGCAGCCAATCAATGATTCTCTCTCATCATTGATGTTTCTATCTCTCTCTCCCTCTTCCTTTCTTAAGTTAATCAAACTATATACATATATATAACTCAAAACTCTTTTTTTTTTAAGTGCTAGAACTTGTGAGGAGCTCAAGATAAACAAGACATAGTCCTCAACTGAAAGAGAATCCAGTGGGGAGTTAAGCTAACAAATAAAAAAGATACATCTATATATATAAAAGCCTAAGCGACCGTTATGACCAGACAACCGATGACTGGCCGGTAGCTATCATGTACACTGACCACCAAGGGGCAGATGCTCAATGCAGGAGCTGGTTATCAGTGCACTCCCACAGCCAACCTCCCACAGCTGGCCAACCTGCTGCAGTCCCTCCCTCTGGCCAGCCAGCCCCAATTGGGATTGGGTGAGATGGCCCTGATCACCCCCAATCAAAGGTCAGGCTGAGGGACACCACCAGTGATAAATTCGTGCACTAGGCATCTAGTAACAATATAAAATTAAATAAGATTTAAAGATAAAAATTAAAGACTTATGAAGGGTAGTATAATATGACTATCAAATTAATCATTCTGTTTAGAATACTGACTGGGCTCAGAAAAAGGGAAAGTTGTTCAAGCAGGGGTTAAGGTCCTGGCTGAGGAGAGCCGCAGGTGTGGCCAATACAGGCAGAGTTCACTGCAGAACCGAGTTCTAAGTCTCAGGCCTAGGCTTGGGAATCCAGTCTCACTGGTCCCATTAACAAGATTCCAATGCAAAGTCCCTCACAGTGGCCACAAGAACATGAAATGAGTTCCCAGACTCACCAACCTAGTTTGGTGGAACTCTATTAACAGTTGTCATATTTACTCCCAAGATAGAATGTGCCTATCAACCAGAGCCAAAACCTAATACTATAATTCCGAGTTACAAAATTCTGAAAACTACATTCTAAGAAAAACTGGCTTCACTGAAGAATACAAGGGAGAGATCAGACAGAATCATAGCATAAACAAAAGGTGTGGCAATAGCTGATCTGAAAGAGACAAGAAACTGCCCTGTTCTTTGGGAACTGAAGCAAAGGCCAACAGAGAACTGGAGACATAGAAATCTTATCTAAACCTGCACAGAGTTTAACAGTGTTCACACACCAACAACTGATTAATCTTACTCTCTTAAAACTGAAATGTTTATACTTCTAACAACAAATTGCCAATAACATCAAGTTCACTCCACATTCCTTGCAACAAAAGACTAAAGGTATGAAAATGATAATATCGATACCTTGTGTTTTTATAATAGATCAAGGTATTTTTAAAAGCACTCTTGCCTATCACTGTGGTAGAATCTGCCAGACACAACAGCTTTGAGTTAAAGGTTACTGTGCATTGTCACACTGTATTCCCAGCTCTGTGATCCAGTGTGTGAAAGGGCTTTATCAGGGGAGCAAAGGATGAACATTCTGCTTTGGAATTCAACAAGACAGAACTCCCACACCACCTTCCTTTGGGGAAGATATAAAATATTTAGTCTTCCCATGTACTTTGTAAAAATCGTCTGGTTGCCTACCGTTTGCAAGATTTCCTCTCAGTTGTAAAAACAAAACAAGCAAATATGTTTTAAAATATTTCCCTTAATTATCAGAATCAATGGTCTACATACATCCTCTCCCTTCTTCTTTGTTCACAATGTCCAAGAATTGTGATCTGATCGCTAGAGTCCACTTCAACTATAAATGTTTAATAAGAGTTTGACACCAGAATACTGATCTGGTTCTTGCCATAGGAGGTGGCAACTAACACCAGAGCAGGAGCTGAGATGTAGAGCACCTGCTGTTCCTAGATCGTGGAAAGCAGCTGGTGTTGAGCGATCTATGTGGCACACAGAGCTATCTATGGGGCACTTCTAGTTAATAAATACCAAGCGAAGGGGCATTTGAACTAAGTCAAAAATTCACTGGCCACTGTGTAGGGATGACAGTATTTGAGCAATAGAATAGTTACAGCAATAAAACAAATCATTGGCCACTATAACTGCTAAGTGGTGATGATCCACTGTACTTTGAGCTCGCTGTGAAGCAATGCTTACTCACAGAGTTCAGTGAGATTCCGAGTCCTTTCATTTCTACCTCAGGCCTTACCTGCAAGCAGGTGGACGGAGCTGAAGCACTTCTCCAGTTTACCCAGAAGTACGGTGAGAAAACAGTCTGAAGATAGAGAGGCAACATCCTGGGAGCTCTGATCATAAACTACAACCTTCTGACTGCAATCAATGTCGACCTAAAATGCAAATGTGTGAGACTGTTAGGAAGGACATGGAGAAAAATAATCCCAAAAACTGCTGGCGCTGAAGCAAATGAGTGTTTCCTGTTTTCAGTTAATAATCTGAGGGGAAAAGAAAAAAAACGAGATACAGTCAACTTACTGGATAAACCTAGCATACACCATGTATATGGTTTAAATGCTTGTAAAAATCAACTTTTACAGGCAACTTGATGCTATTTCTGTGTAGATGTGCTAAAAACTACTTGGCTTTAAATCCTTAACACTCTAAAAGGGTAAAACATAATAGTCCTTGAAATAAAAATCATTTAAAAACGGTTTCTATATAATAAAGAAATCAGTTTAATAAAATTAAAACATGAACTCACTTTGATTCCTAAAGAAAAGAAATAGCCTTATCTATCACAAAGATGACATTTTGGACACTAGGAATAACTCCTTGAGGATAATATGCTTACATCTTGACCAATGTTACCTTACTTTCCCATAAATCAAAAGCACTTTCTAATATATTTTTTCTGTCTTTCCAAGGCAATTGAAAAGAATGATTTCCTTTCAATAAATTTGTAGGTAATATCAAATAATATATTAATGCCTTATCAATACATATACTATTACATGTTAATACATAATTACCAATAATTAATAATTATTAACTATAACTTTGTATTAGTGTTTAATTTTTAAAAAAACAATTTTAACAAGTCATTAATGGAAAAGCAGTCCCTGACAACATTAAAACAAGTTAACCTCTCTGTTTAGTTTAGAAGTATTCTTAAATGTGACAGTTTGGTTAATAAATTTATTGAGGCATCAAACTTCCTCAAATTATTTTCTCCCCTTAAAGTGAGGCTTTGTTTAAAAATTTTCCCCATTCAGTGTGCCCATTTATTCTAAAAAAGAAAAGAAGAAAGCATTTACCTTATGTTTTGCTGAATGCTGGATGAGTTCTGTAATTAACACTTTGTCCTGTTGCAACCTTCGCTTCATAAGCTTAGAACAGTTGATATTAATGGCTTCCAAAATGTGGGATGTATTGTATTCCACAAATGGCCGGCTATCAATTAGCAGCACTTTTTCCGTTCCACTTTCCAGCAGAGCCACCAAGCTCTCAGTAACAATTTGAGTCCCAGTCATCTCATGGGCCATGGCAACAGCAAGTCCTCTTTTCCCACCTCCTCCTTTAATTTGCCACAGTGATGTAATGGTGGTGTGCTCAAAGGCTCAGCCACTCCATTGTACTAACATGTATGAGGTCAGGCTGGTGGTGACTGGCAAAAGGAGAGTTAAACCCATTTTCAGCAAAAGCCCTCCAAGTGAATGTCTCTTTCTCTTCCCCGTTGATGTGCTCTTGCAAAGGATTCCGTCCACAAAGCAGCCCCTCACATTTGATTCATAAAGAGATGACTGGAATAACCATCCCACAACAAAAGATGCTTTGGGGCAGCCGGTGCATTACGTCATTCTTTACCTTTGCTCCCTCGCTCCAACAGCTTGGCACTGGGCTGAAAAGCCTACATGAAGGGAGACAGACCGACAGAAAACAAAACAGGGGGTCAAAAAAAGAAAGAGCATCGGATTAGAGAGAGTGTATGATTCACAATATTTACTCCATTAATCTAATTCCATACTTGATGCCCTGTTTCATTTGAACAAACAAACAAAAAGGACAATTGGGTATGACTTCAGAAAAGCATTCTAATGATAATTCAGTTGCACCCCAAAATATGAAAACACAGAGAAGACAAAACAAGACACGTTCTTGAATTATAATCACTAGGGGCCTGAAAGGAAATGAGTTACAGCATGAAATTAAAAGAGCTGTATAAAGCTGCTTGAAGTTTTATTATTCCAAATGGTTATCCTCCCTTTTCTTTGCTTATTTCTTAAAAAAAATAGTATAAAAGAACAATAGCCTAGAACCAGGGTAGCAATCCCCTATTTTCAGAACAACAACAAAAATATTTTCTTGCAGCTACACCCCTACAGGGGACTGCCGGCGGGATGCGCCAGGAGCGGGGCGACCGCATGGGAGGCCCCGCCCCGGTGGCCGCGCACCATGGGGAACTAGCAGACCATCTTCACGGAGGAGCAGCTGGACAACTACCAGGACTGCACCTCCTTCCATAAGAAAGACATCCTCGAGCTGCACGCGCGGTTCTACCAGCTGGCCCCCAACCTGGTCCCCATGGACTACAGGAAGAGAAAGCCCCATCGTCCAGGTGCCAAGCTCCGGGAGAACCCATTCAAGGAGCGGATCATGGAGTTCTTCTCGGAGGACGGTGAGGGCAGCCTCACCTTCGACGACTTCGTGGACACGCTGTCCGCGCCCTGGGAGTCCGTGCCCCACAACCTCAAGGCCAACTACACCTTCAAGATCTACGACTTCAACACGGACAACTTCATCTGCAAGGAGGACCAGGAGATGACGCTGGCCCTGCTGACCAAGGTGGAGCTAGAGGACAGGACGGTGCTGGTGTGCGACAAGGTGATCGAGGAGGCCGACCTGGACGGCGACGGCAAGCTGGGCTACTCCGACTTTGAAGTCATGATCGCCAAGGCACCCAAGTTCCTCAGCACCTTCCAGGTCCGGATCTGAGGACGGCTGAGGTCTCGGGCCTGGATGCCCACCATTTGTCCACCTCTGCTGTCTGCACAGCTTTGACCTCCCAGATCCCATGATGGGAGCTGCAGCCTCGGGGGCTGACACCCGTCTACATTTCCTCGGCCCTTTCAGCAAAAAATCCTTCACCAGGGAAGGAGGGCTTGCCAGGCTCCTGTGGTCCAGCCCAGGCACCATAGGCCCTCCCTCTGTCCCTCGACCACCCCTGTGCCTGGACCTCTCCCGTCAGAAATGCCCCTCCCTCCCAAGGGAAAGGCCAGGCACATGAAGGGAGTGGGGTGGGGGAACCGACCTGTCCATGTACTAGAAACACAATCGGGCCACCTAGGGCAAAGGGAGAAGACCACGAGATTTTTTAAAATATATTTTTATTGAATTCAGAGAGAAAGGGGGAGGGAGACAAAGAGAGATACATCAATAATGAAAGAGAGCCGAAACCGGTTTGGCTCAGTGGTAGAGCATCAGTCTGCGGACTGAAAGGTCCCAGGTTCAATTCCAGTCAAGGGCATGTACATTGGTTGCGGGCACATCCCCTGTAGGGGGTGTGCAAAAGGCAGCTGGTCAATGTTTCTCTCTCATCAACATTTCTAGCTCTCTATGTCTCTCCCTTCCTCTCTATAAAAAATCAATAAAATATATTTTAAAAAAATAATAATAATGAAAGAGAATTATTGATTGGCTGCCTCCTGCATTGCCCCCTACTGGGCATGGAGCTCACAACCTGGGCATGTGCCTTGTAGGAATTGAACTGTGATCTCCTGGGTCATAGGTCATAGTTCTGGCACCGAGCCACACCAGCTGGCTGGGCGATGATCAGATTTTCATGAACTATGCAATATTTTTGTTTTGTTTTGTCTATTGTTTTTTAAGTTCTTTATTGTTTAAAGTATTACATGAGTCTCCTTTTTCCCCATTGACCTCTCCCTCACCACACTTCCCCCAAGCACAAGCCCTCACCCCCCTGTCTATGTCCACTGGTTTTACTCATATGCATGTATACAGTACAAGTCCTTTGATCTCTTATCCCCACAACCTCCGCCTTCCCTCATAGGTTGGACAGTCTGCTCCATGCTTCTATGTCTCTGGTTCTATTTTTGCTCATCAGTTAATGTTGTTCATTCCACAAATGAGTGAAATCATGTGATATTCATCTTTCTCTGACTGGCTTATTTCGCTTAGCATAATGCTCTCTAGTTCCATCCTGCTGTTGTAAATGGTAAGAATTCCTTCTTTTTTACAGCAGCGTAGAATTCCATTGTGTAGATGTACCACAGTTTGCTGATGACTCACAGACTTGAAGACAGTGTACACCCGTGAGGATGCCTCGAGGTTGGGAAGGGCGGACACTGGGACAGGGCCCTGGGGCCCACAGTACTCATAGTTCCACACTGGGAAGGGTGGGAAGGCGGGGAGATGAGATGGGGGAAGGTGGGGCAGGCGGCAGCCCAGCTGTGGGGTTGGAGAAAGATTGCACAGCCTATGCAATCTTCCTATGCAATCTTCCTCCAACCCCACGGCTGGGCTGCCGCCTGCCCCACCTGTCCCCATCTCATCTCCCAGCCTCCCCGCCCTTCCCAGTGTGAAGATATGTGAATTGAGGGCCCCAGGGCCCTGTCCCAGTGTCCACCCTTCCCAAACGAGGTATCCTCATGGGTGTGCACTGTCACAAGTCTGTGAAATGAGAGTAAAAGGCTTTCCTGTCAAAAAAAAATTTTTTCTGATGGTTTGAAAATTACTGTAATGGTAATTATAGTACACATACACACACTCACACACAAACGCATGCACACCAAGGAGCAAATAGCACACACCCCTTTAAATTGCCCTCAGGAAAGAGGAGAGGCAGGGAAACGGAGGTTCTATAAATTCTAGTTGCCTTCTAAGAAAGAGAGATTAAAATGGCTGACATCCTTGCCATACCAACCGCTGAGCTCATTGATGGGGCCTGTGATATACCCAGCTCCATCCAAGACAGTCTCAGCTATAACCCTGGCCAGTCCCCCAACTCCCCTGGAGTTCCGTGACCCTTTACATCCTATGCCTCATTCTTAAGAGAATCACTAACTCCCACCTTGGAAAATCTCACACCTTAAACATGGGACTCAAGGACAGCAACCTACACATAACAAAGCCCTTCACACTGGACCCAATGCTTTCCTGGCTTGCCAAACTCCTATAATCAACCATTTCCTAATTGATACTACCATGTTTCCCCCAAAATAAGACATCCTCCGAAAATAAGACCTAGTGCATGGAAAGATAAGACATCCCCTGAAAATAAGACCTAGCGCAACTTTGGGAGAAAAAAATTAATATAAGACACTGTCTTATTTTCGGGGAAACAGGGTAGTTGGGAGTTTTGTGTCCACAGCTTGGACCTCACTCTGGCCTTCAATATTCTCAGATCCCTATCTCCCCTGGTCCATCTGTTTATATGAAATTTTCTATTCCATAAAACTAGATGTCTATGGGCATTCAACGTCTAGAGGATAAACGACTTGATGGCAGAGGTTTTGTATTACATTTCTTACCTCCACAGTGCTTTGTGCTTAAGATAATTTGCAGTATTATAAGTATAGTATAATCCTTTTTTCCAAAAACAATGTAAGAAACTGAGTAAATATCTGACTGACTGATTTCAGATCAGGATGGTAGGGCCCTCAAACATCACCAGGTCCCACTTCCTAATTTCAGACTTACAAATTAGAAACCGAGGCACAGAGAAGAGGTAGGAGAGCACAAAGAGAAGTGGCCTGGCCATGTACATGTTACATAACTTTGGACAAATTATGTCATCTCTCTGAAAGGCAGTTTCCTCATCTAGAACATGTGGATGTAATACTGGCCTTGTCTCCTCACAGTTTGTTTTTAGGACAAAATTATCTAGGTTCTCTAAATCAAGTAAGTGAAAAACAACTACACATCATTATACAGGGAAAGGAGGGGAAATGGTGAACAGAGAGGCCGTGCACCTGGAATCTAAAAGATACCACTCAGCAACTAAAAACAGAAGCTACTCCATTCTGCTACAGTCCAGCTTCAACCAAGTTGTGTCCTTCATATGGAGCTAGACACACAGTGAGAAGGCAGCTGAGAAATCATCTCATCACCCACACATCTTACAAATCAGCTCCACAGGCTACATTATCTATTTCTTGTCTTCATTATATTAAGGTATTTATTTCTAGTATATCTTACTGGCAAGAGGCACAAAAGTCATCTCCATCTTCAAAGGAAGAAGCCAGGGCAGAGAATCTGTCCTAGCCAATCAACTAACGCGCTTACAAAGCACCTGCCAAGGATACAGCACTGAACCAAATCAAGTCCTGACTGCTCAGTGACACAGTTCACAGCCACGTCAGGTCCTATACGCAGATTGCCTGATTCCCAAAGCAGGGCTCCTACTACTGGGTTACCCTGTTTTCCATAATGACACTGAACTGAGAAAGAATGACGTGACTTGTCCATGAGGGTGCCCAGTGGCACAGAAAGTGGAAATACGAGAACAGGAGCAAGTGGACTCCAA